CCCAATAACTGTAGTCATTAAAATATGCATATCAGATCTTAACTCATTTTCTGTATGTAACTATAGAAATGTTGTATAATTATTACACCTTGAGAGTATAATCTGTGACCACACTAACTTCTTGTCCTGCTGTTGCAGCAGCCTAAATAATAAAACAACAATCATAAGATTTTGATAATATTCATGATAATATTTAGAAACTCGTTATTTACCTTCATGTAAAATTATTGCCTTCTGTAGTTGATTCCTTTGATTTGTACTTCATTGTATATTCAACTTCTGTAATCGATTCCGATTTGGCTTTTGTAGCTCGAAGGAGAAGCCTACTCTAGGGTAAGTCTTCCTACTATATAGATACGTATCAAAGTTTTTATTTCTTTATCATTCCTTGTTTGATATTCTAAATCCGCCTAGGTAAAATGATTTCTATAAAGATTGTATTATATCCCGTTAAGGGTTTATTCATAAATAACTGTTTGAAGTGTATTTTTTTAATGCACTTTTGACATTTCACCTCTTTATAGTCCTAATTTGAACTTCGACGGATCTGGTCTCCCACCAAAGACAGCGTTCCAGCTACTTCTTAAGGATTGTAAATGATTGAGATTCCAATGCCTAATTCATTGATACTCGTCTGAATAAATACAAGAGGTACAGAGACATTATACAGAAAGTCTAACTAAGAAATCAGCTAAATAAGGAAAAGATACTACACAATAAATATACAGATACAATATATAAATCCGAAATCTATAGCAAGTATATATTTCGGCTAATACCCCCCGGCACAGTCGAATCCGTAGCTGGTTTGATAGAGAGACTGGAACGGAAGCGAGTAAACAACTGACGAGGTAACCCTTTAGTGAAGATATCTGCATACTGGTAATCCGCGGGAACATGTAAAACTCGAAGGGAACCCATACGCACTTTCTCACGAACAAAATGAATGTCGATTTCAATATGTTTCATGCGTTGTTGTTGAACTGGATTTTGAGTGAGATATACGGCTGAAATGTTGTCACAGTAGATGATGGTGGCTTGGCGTAACGGAAGGTGGAGCTCGGGGAGTAAGTTATGCAGCCATGTAGTTTCAGCCGTTGCATTAGCAACTCCTTTGTATTCAGCTTCAACGCTTGAACGATAAATAGTAGGTTGTCGTTTCGACGACCATGAGACAATGTTGTCACCAAGAAATACACAGTAGCCGGACGTTGAACATCTAGAGTCACGGTACCCTCCCCAGTCTGCATCGGAGTAAGAAGTTAGTTTTTTAGACTTTGAGGGAGAGATATGGAGTCCACGATGACTGGTGCCTTTGAGGTATCGCAAAATGCGTTTTAAAAAGTTGAAGTGCGGTTCACGCGGGGCATGCATAAAGAGGCAAACTTGTTGGACTGCGTAGGCAATCTCTGGGTGAGTGAAAGTTAGGTACTGTAGAGCACCAGTGAGGCTGCGGTATAAAGTGGTATCTTGCATAGGGTCACCTGCGGTTGCACTGAGTTTAGAGCTGATGTCGACAGGGGTGGCGCATGGTTTGCAATGTTGCATGTTTGCCCGAAAAAGAATGTCATTCACATACTGTTCTTGGGTAAGCAATAAACCTCCATGTTGGTGTGTAACTTGAATTCCTACGAAGTGATGAAGAGGCCCAAGATTAGACATTGCAAACTCTTGTGATAATAATTCGATGAAATATCGAAGAGTAGCGTTGTCGGATGCGGTCAAGATTATATCATCCACATAGAGAAAAAGATACGCCATTTTAGTGCCTTTTTGGAAGACGAAAAGAGAAGTGTCACTTTTTGTACTTTTGAAACCGCAATTGTGAATGTAAGTTGAAAAACGATGATACCATGCCCGCGGGGCTTGTTTTAGCCCATAGAAAGATTTACGTAAATGAAAAATGTGTGTAGGATTTTGTGGGTCCACGAATCCCAGGGGTTGGTACATATAAATTGTTTCTTTGAGATCCCCATGTAAGAACACGTTCTTGACGTCTAGTTGATGTATTGGCCATGCTCGTGAAACTGCAAGACTAAGAACAGTTCATATTGTTGTTGGTTTCACGACGGGATTGAAAGTTTCATCACAATCTACTCTAACTTGTTGACATTTACCATTAACCACTAGGCGTGCTTTATATATTGCAAGAGTCCGGTTAGCATGAAATTTGTGCCGATGAATCCACATGCAACGTATAACATGAGTATCTGGTGGACGTGGCGCAAGTTCCCATGTGTTGTTATCTATTAGAGCTCTGTGTTCATCAGTCATGGCAGAGTGCCAGTTTGGGTCAGACAAGATGTGTTTGTGGGATTTGGGTAGAGGGGAAATGGTTGGATGTGTGGTGGTGGTGGTATGGAGGTTGAAGGGCATTTTAGGTTTGGTGATTCCGGATTGCGATGGGTGGTCATGGAATGGCGGTTAGTCGGTGGAGGCGTAGGGGGTGGTTGGTTTCGCCGAGAGTAAGTTAAAGGGTAATATGGTGGAGGTAATGGTGTAGGTTGGGTGGCTATGGGTGGGGATTGGGGTGTAACCGGTGGTGAGGGAGTAGGGTCAGATTGGGATGCGTGTTGAGGGTGGAAGAGGAGTGGGGATGGCTCAGAATCTAGAAATGAGTAGTTGTATGGTGAAGGTGGGTGGAGATTAGCATACGGAAAGGAGGTTTCGTCAAAAGTTACATGACGAGATAAGATGACCTTTCCTGTGGTTGTGTCAAGGCATCGATATCCCATGTATTGTGTTGGGTAACCTAGGAAGATACATCGTGTAGATCTGGGGGCAAGTTTGTGTTGTCGGGTGGCATTTAGGTTAGGAAAACATGCACAACCAAAGGTTTGTAAGTGATTATATGTAGGATGTTTGAGGTAGAGAGCGGAAGTGGGTGTACGGTTGTCAAGTAATTTAGTGGGAAGTATATTGTGAAGGTAGGTGGCGGTGTGAAGGGCATCAACCCAAAAGTGTGGCGGTAGAGAGGCATGAGTGAGGAGGGATAATATGATTTCGTTAAGACGACGAATCATGCGTTCAGCTGTGCCATTCTGTTGGGAAGTATGTGGGCACGAAAAACGAATGTGGAGACCGGTGGTAGTGGAAAAATTAAGAAATGGATGATTATGAAATTCACCACCTTTGTCACATTGGAAGGTTTTGATGTTGGTATTGAATTGGGTTTGGATATATTTGTGAAATGTTTTGATTTTGTCATATGTTTCAGATTTGTATTTGAGGGGAAAGGCCCATGTAAAATGGCTAAAATCATCGATGATGATGAGATAATATTTAAAATCGGATTTGCTATGGATGGGTGAGGTCCATAGGTCTGCATGTACAAGATCAAATGGTTTTAAAGTGGTTGATGTGGAATTTTTAAAAGGTAAACGTTTGTGTTTAGCTATTTGACAGGAATGACAAACAAATGAATGATCAACTTTATTGCAAGAAATATGGTTATTCTGATTAAGAAAATGCATTACATGAGAACCCGGATGACCTAGTCTAAAATGCCAAAGAGGCATGCTAGAAGAAACAAAAAAAGATGAAGCTTGAGCATTGGTTGGTTTGGTGAAGGGGTAAAGTTCACTGGAACTGTTGTGTCTCGTCAGATGCTTCCCAGTCTTGTAATCCTTTAAAGAGAAACCATATTGGTCAAATTCAACAGATAAATTATTATCACGGCAAAATTTGCATACGGATACAAGGTTTTTAATGGAATGTGGTGTGTGTAGTATGTCTTTGAGATGGATGGGTGTAAATGGGTGATATATAGTGGTGTGGCCTGATCCAATTACCGACACCTGTTCACCATTTACAACAACCATAGATTTAATAGAAGACACACTAGGGATTGAGATTTTACCTGGATCAGCAGTGAGATGGGTAGTAGCACCAGAGTCCATATACCACTGATTGTCATTTGGGTCCAAATTCATGGTTGAGAAAGCAGCTCCGAGTTTAGAAGGCTCCAGTGGGTTGACATCCGAAAAATGAGCTTGAGCCTGTGGTTGTCTTGAATGTTGCTGAGCAGAGGATATGGACCAAGGAGGATCCCATCCAGGTTGAGTGGGATATGGGCAAGGTGGTGGTGAAGCCCACCAGGGTGTGGTCCAGTATGGTGCCGGATAGTTGGCCCATGGAAGGCATGTTTGACCAGATGGAGGACCCCGAGGGTTATTTGAGTGGGATGTCGTTTGGCGACCAGGGGACTGATTATAGGTTCTGTTGCAAGACACAGAAGTGTTGGTTCCTGGCGGTCGACGATTCGAAATACGCTGCTGGTGTTGACGATTGTTGTTTCCAGAATTGCCATGATGAGGAGTTGGATTGGCGGGGGGGTTCATGGCCAATGGTGGCGGCTATCTCGGCAGGTGAGTGGGAGTCCCGAGCACGTTGACGCTGATTTTCAAGTTGAAGCATCGAATACGTGGTGTCCCATGGAGGTAGGGTTTGATTCAGGTAAGCTCCTACTATGTCAAATTCAAAAGGTAAACCACGAATGATTTGAAGAACCAGACGGTTCTCATTCACCGGGCAATCAACATCGTTTAGTTGACTTGCCAAATCTTTGAGGCGTTGACAATAGGATTCTAGAGACGACATGGCTCGGAGGGTCAGGTTGTTGATTCGTGTTCAAGTGCAGCAGCACGAGATCCTTTGTTGTTTAGGAAGATGTTTTGTACTTTGGACCATGTTTCATATGCAGTGGAATCCGGTTCAAGAACCCTAACAAGGAGGTCATCAGATATTGTCCCGTAGATCCACTGTAAGACAATAGCATCCATTTCTGACCATGCTTCATATGTTGGGTCAGTCCTTAATGGAGGTTCTATACCGTCAATGTGGGCAAGAACTTTGTAGCCTTTGGCATGGAGCTTGAATAGCCAAACCCATGATGAGTAGGAAACCTTGGTACCATCAAGGGTTCAAATCTTTTTTTGTATGTTTGTGAGATGGAAAGCTTTGACAGGGTTTTGATCGGATTTATCAACCATTGTGAGAAGATGGGAGATATCAGAAACAAAAAAGAAAGAACAGGGGTAGGGCGGTACATCCTTGGCTGCACCAGGAAGAAGCAATTTTATGGTAAGGCCTTTGGCTCTGATACCATGTAAATGATTAAGATTCCAATGCCTAATTCATTGATACTCGTCTGAATAAATACAAGAGGTACAGAGACATTATACAGGAAAGTCTAACTAACAAATCAGCTAAATAAGGAAAAGATTCTACACAATAAATATACAGATACAATATATAAATCCGAAATATATAGCAAGTGTACATTTCGGCTAATAAGGATAACATAGTTGGGAAAGGACTGGTTGTGACTTTCATCACATACTTCGTCAAGGAATATCTCATTAATAACCCCCTTTAGGATCTAATCTCCATCTTGAAGCATTGCAAATTGGAGGACAATTTGGTTAATTGAGTTCTTTACTTCTGGGAAGCGATCTGCTGAAGCTTTCTTTGATGATTTCACGTAAGTACTTTTTTTATCTGTATTGAATTGTATTGTTGAGGATTGGTAAAAGGGTAAATTGTATGTAGTAAATAAGAAAACATATGTTGAATTTGCATGAAGTAAAGCAGGCATGGGTGCTTTGGTTGAATATAATGACAAGATCTTTGAGGTGAAGGTGAAGGAAATGAAAACAACATTGAAAACTCATATATCATAGGAAGTTAGGATTGAAACTGTGAAGTAGCATGTGAAGGATGCTAAGTTTCCTGAGATTGAGGTAGTTAGGATTATGTGGGATGTTCTGATGGATGTCATTTAGTGTTTAGGGAAAAATCAACAACAGAATGCTATTTTGGCTCTGCGCCAGGTAATGTGATCATTTAAAATTTAGTATAATGTGATTTTTGGTTGATGATGATGATGATTGTTGTTGTTGTGCAGGTGAAAACATGGGCTAAGTTGCTTCCTGAGATTGTGAGATCCCTTTATGATCAAGATGTTCTTGCTGAAGACACTATCCTTCATTGGTTCTGTAAAGGAAACAATCCAAAGGGAAGGTATGTGATTATGTTTTATGCAAAAAAATTGGTTATTATTTAAAAAAAAATTGTAGTGATCTCTATTCTAATTAGGGTTTTGGTTTTCGATAATTGAGGAGGTTGATTGTCACTTTTATGAAATTCAAATCTGCAAATTAACAAGTACTTTATTTAGCTTAAAACTTTTGGTTTCTTTGTGTCAGGTCTTTTAATGCAGGCTTGCAAAGAGATATCACCATTTTCATTAACCAAGTAAACTTCTATCTACACACGGTAATGTTTCCTTTCCTATATTTTTTAATTTTTTTCATTTTATCCTCCTAACTTCTGTTAAATTATTGATATTAGATTTCTTTTACTCAAATTCTTACAGTTTCCTCTACAGTCAATATGTAGAAAAATAGATAAATCAATCAAAGAAACTCAAAATAAAGGCATTACCTGAGAAGGCATTCCTGGTGGGACGTGCATTTCTGATTGCAGCTAACACTGTTATGGCATAATGTTACATTAGGGAGTAACTATAAACCAAAAATCCCCACAATCTTATTAAACCCAATTATTTATATCAGGATTTAATGATCAGATTTTAGCATAGTTGAAAAATGAATTTTGGATTTAATTTAAAATGACATGAAATTTAGTTGATTTAATAGCACCCATTTGATATTTCTATTTGTATTTTAGTTGACTAGGTAGATTATTAATCATTTTGGTTTTGGGACTTCTTAATTATGCTCTTGGCATATAACTGAGGCTATTGTAATTGCTATTTTCCAAATATTAGGACACTACATATAAGATATGATAGTTGTGTGTTTGTAAATGTCCAAATAAAGTGTATTCTATACACTGGAATGTCATAGTAACATCTAGTATAACTCAATAAGAATTACCTGATCCTGAAGCAAACCACAATTTAGGACATCTAGAAACAATAATCATGGTTCTCTCATCTTCAAGTTAAGAGAACTCAGAAAGTATAACCACATCAAAACATGCAATAAAAACAAATTTGATATGGATATGATTCACTAAAACTCATATTAGGTGAGTGAGTACTGATCTCAAGCTAAGCAATCAAGGTTTCCATATACGACAACGATACCAACGAGCATCTCCTTCAATGTTTTGGACATAACCAGATACGAAGACAAGACAGATAAAATCGAACGTATGAATTACTTACTGATATCCGATAACTGAGTGGGGATGAGCGGAAAACCTGATGCGCTACGCGTTGATACTATGATAAGCATATGTTAACGCGTGAAAGAAACTGAAAGCCCTAATTCAATTTCTTCTGAATCCCAAACACCATTTTTAGATGCTTGCATGCAATTGAATCTGGAGGAGGAAATGGCGGTGCAATAGAAGGATGTACCTATATCCCCACCACAAATTGTGATGGGTAGCTATCATTGTTGGTGATGTTCGATTCATCAAAAGCCCTAGTTCTTCAGTCAATGGTCTATTTTGTGAAAGAAGATATTACCATTGCAAATGCTTTATGTTTGATTAGGGTTTGCACATAGAAGGAAGTGAAAGTCGATCGTAGAGGAAGGGGTTTGCAGAGAGAAGTAAGGGAGAGAATGAAGTCGATCTGGTGGGTGTAGAGAGTACAGAGGAAGAGGAAGCGGGAGTTCAAAATTTTGGGGGATTTCATTTTTCCCCTTACCTGAGTCCCAGAAACATGCGTTTAGTAAAAATTATAAAGTGACATTTGTAGAGGATACGCTAATGAGAGGTGCCCTCCGTGTTTTTTTATTAGACATTAATTTTAGGGCGCGCAAAAATACGTGTCCTCTATCCTTCAAATTTTGGAAGGCTGACATTATTTTTAAGGGAACACAAAAATGTGTATCGCAAATCAGCGAGTGTCATTGTTTGCGCATCATTAAAGGGTATTTTTCTTGTAGTGTAATCAGTTCTAAAAATATGGGGATGTTATAATAGACAAAGCATAATAATTAACCTTAACTAGACTATAGTCGTGAAAAGTACAAAATGTTACCTTATCTAGATTTGGCGCAAAAGTAGTTCAGCCTACTCCAAATACTTATCTTGTCAATATCGGGTTTCGAGTATCTTTACTTTTCTCGGCGGGTTGATATCAATTTGGGTAATCGATTCTTACATTATATTAAACAATCTCCACCTTGACTTAAGTGTACTCCAAACTCCAAAAACCAAAACTATTGCTCCTTCCTGTCATTTATACTTAAAGGATTTACCTCTAGCAAACATATATAAAATCTAAGCAACATTTGAACTTCTTTGTGTGCAATGACTTTCTCAACATATATGTAACATCCCGATGTTAAGGTACTTCTAATTTCAGTCCTTTGATTTATTTATGTTGCATTTTGGTCCCTTAGTTCAACAAAGTATGCAATGGAACCCTAATGGCATTATTGTAATTTTGGGACTTCGGAGTATGCCATACATACGTGGTGTACGTGAGCGTACTAGGGCGCGCCCTAGTACGCTGGGTGCACATTAATGTACGTTGGGCGTACTTGCTGATTAGGAAACCCTAGTTTTTAGGGTTTGGCCAGTATTTAAGAATCCTAAAGTCTCATTCTTTCCCTATTTTTCATCCTCCATTAGCAAAAACGTGTGCTCTTGTAAACCCTAGCCTCATTAGAGTCTTTGGAAGGTTGATTGTGGGTTTTTGGGTGTTTCAATAAAAGAAGAAGGTAATGGTAAAGCTTGAAAGCTTGAAGAAAAGCTTGGATCAGGAAGTTTTTCACCTTTCTCCATCATTTCAAGGTATAAATTTCATACTTTGATGGCTAGTTTACTAGATCTTGCTTATGTGTTGATTTCATATGCTTTTTGGTCCCAAATGTCTTATCTTGAGCATGGAATGTTCTTGATGATTTGACTTCTTCTTTCAAACCCTAGGAGGGGTCCTAAGTCATAAAAATGAAGTCACATTGGTTATTTTTGCTCCATGCATCTTGTAGAAGGTCTTAATGGATTAAGACCTTGAGTTAAGCTCTTAATAGGCATGTAAAGTCATAAAGTTGGAAACTTTATGACTCTAGAGTGTATTTTGGCCATGGATCTGAAATTGGGATGTAAGAGCTTAATCTATTAAGCTCTTAACAATATTTTTAGGCTTGCAAGGGTACACCCTACATACTCGGAGTACACCCCACATACTCGGTCAACCATCCTGATGATGGTTAATCTGCGAGGCCTCGTGTACGCCCTGGGTATGCAACCCGATTTGACTCGGTTGGGTTGAGTCAGTTGACTTAGTGGGTTTGACCACTTCACTTTGACTTTGACTTTGAACAAGTTTGACCATGTTTGACCTTGAGGGTATTTTGGGAATTTGATGGAAGTGGTTGTTAGTGGGATTAGGTGTCGGTTAGTGAGCTGAGATTCGTAGTCGGGACCTCATCAGCTTCTGTCCAGTTTGTGAGGTAAGTTTTCCTCACTGTAGTTTTGGGTTGAAGGCACCAAGGCCGGCCCATTGGATTAGATATCGTATTATGTGATAGTATGGTATTATGTTATACTGATATGTTAGATCGGTATCCTGATATATCGGATGATGCTACACTTAGTGATCTGTAAGATCTCTTTGCTTGTCTGTTGACTGGTTATATATATTTATCTGTTATGCACATGTCAGCATGTTATGTATAGTTGGGATGAGGCGGACCTGTGTGGACTGAAGGCCAAGAGACCCAGGGCATCCCTGGATGGACTAGAGACCCGAGGGGTTTACCAGTCATCCTGAAGGCCCGAAGAATGTTCCACATAGGTTGTTGGTGAGGCGTACCAGTCATGCTTAAGGTTCTGTGAGCGTATCAGATAGACTATAGGTCGGTGGCACATTCAAGTCAGACTGAAGGTTGTGTATGCATGTTGTTTTTTGTTAACGTTATGAGTATTGTGTGTTGGTACTTTGGGGGATATCACTAAGCGTTAGATTATAGTTTTGGGTTATTTTTGAGGTACTTCGGACGATCGCGAGATGGCGAAGGCGTGACCGTACACATCCTCATGTTTTGAGTTATGATTTAGGGAAACTCAGATGTTGAACATGTTTTGAAAACTATGTTTGTAAATAATTTGTGAAACTGGTCAATTTTAAAAGTTTAAATTTTTCATGACTTTTATGAGTGTTACAATATCAGCAAGGTTCTACTTTGAAACATATATTTTAAGTAGACAACCTTTTTTCTTCCTAAACATCCCTGATAAACTTAAATCTTATATACATATGTTTTTGTTTTCTCATGATAGACTAAATTTTGCCAAGACCCAAAGAGCTCTAAATATCACAAAACATTATAGGCTTATCAACCTACAACCCAAAACTATGAATGAGATCGTCAAACCATATGAAGTTCTTTATTGACTCAGTTATTGATATGTACTCTACTCCATTTGTAGATAAGGCAACATTATGTTGTCGCATTGGCTTCCAACATGCATATAGCACATCCAAATAAAATAAAATTATAACATTTAAGTGATCTTCTTATCTCTAAATCACCATTATAGTCGTACTTTGTATAACCAACCAATCCATTATATCGTGTGTTAGCATCATTAAATAGTAAAATGTTAGTCATTCCTTTGAAGTACTGCACAATCCACTTGACCGCTTTCCAATGAGCTTTTCAAGGGTTACTCATAAAACTGCTTACCACAAACATTACATGAGCCAGATCAGATTTAGTACATACCAAAAAATACAAAAGACTTCCAACAACACTTGATTCCTTACACATGTAATATATTTCCTGATATGTAGTTGGTATAATGCTTTGATTAAGTTTAAAGTGTATTGCCAAAAGGAAAATTAACAAGTTTAGATTGATGAATGTGGATTAATTCCAAGACTTTTTTAACGTAGCTTTATTAAAAATGTATAAAAGTCCTGTTATTCTATCCCTTCGAATCTCCATCCTCAATATCTTCTTTTTTTATACTTCTTCATCTCGAACTCATTTTCCAAGAACGACATTATGTCATTAATATTAGCCATGTTTTTTGATGTAATGAGAGCATCATATATATATATATATATATATATATATATATATATATATATATATATATATATATATATATATATATATATATATATATATATATATATACATATATATATATATATATATATATATATATATATATATATATATATATATATATATATATATATATATATATATATATATATATATAATATATATATATATATAGAAACAATCAGACAATTCCTTTCAGTATACACAACTATCAAACTGATTTTGAAAGTAGTTGTGCAAAATCATAAATGAATCAAACCTTTTGTACCCATATTTGGGAGACTACTTCAAACCATAGAATATTTCTTCGACAAAAAAATGTGATCTTTCTTGGAGTCA